TTGTAGTACTTTTTTTTAACATAATTTTGAAAAAAATATTTATTACTCTGTTTGTTCTAATTTATGTGGCACACGCAGAATTTCAAATATTAACCATTTTTTATATGTCTCTTTAATATATTAAGTTGTTAATTATTGTATTTTATAGTACATTTTGAACCTAATTTTTTAATAATATATGTTATTTGCCATGTCCCAATTTATGTGGCATTAATTGATAGATTTGTTGGAGTCGAGAGATTTATTTTGTTAATTATTGTAATTTATAGTTTCTTTTTCGTCAATTTCAAACAATATATGTTTATCATATAATCCATTTTATGTGGTACCAATAGAATTTAGAGAGTCAATTAAATTTTGTATATAAGTTTTAAATAATGAAGCTGTTAATTATTGTAATGTATAGTATTACTTATATTATTTTTAAATATATTTAAATATTATATGTTAGGTTTTTTATCCTAATTTATATGGCATTGATAGAATTTAAAGTGTCAAATAATTGTTAATTAGTTATCATTTTTAAATAATATATGTTATTCATGTTCTAATTCACGTGAATAATTATAAATATTTTCAATTGTTAATTTATTGTGAATTTCTAGGACTTTTTGACGCCATTTTTCAAATTAATATAAGATACTGCTTTTATTTTAATTAGCCAAGCAAATTTCCATTTATGATTTAAAAAAAAATTCAGTCGCTAATTATTGTAATTTATAGTATTTCTTATGTAATATTTAATAATACATTTTATTGTATTTATTTAAATTCATGTGACAATGATAGAATTTTAAGAATATAATACATTTTATTGTATTTATTTAAATTCATGCGACAATGATAGAATTTTAAGAATCAATAAAAAAAATTTAGAAAATCTAATTTCTTTCTTCTATATTTTGTAGCTAAAATATAATAAATGAATTATTAAATATGAAAATGTTAAATTTTCAAGGAAGAAATAAAGTGGGAAAAAATAAAAAAGAAACTGTGAGGAACAAATAAAAGAAGGAAATGAGAATTGTTAATGGGCAATTGGATAACAAAAATTAAAGAAAAATAGAAAAATGTGAAATAGGCAGAAACAAGTAATACGTGTCTGCCAAAGAAAAGGCTGCATACACGTGGGGTCCAAAGTGAAGGTACAATTTATGTTACTTTTGGTACAATTTCGTGTTGCTTTGTTTGTCCTTTTGGTACAACTTGAACTGCTTTTGGTATCACATCTTAAAGTTGTGTTAGTCCCAACCCAATAGTACAACTTGAACAGCTTTTGGTATCACTTCTTAAAGCTGTGTTGGTCCTTTCCAACTCTCACTTCACTTCTAAATAAGAGTAATATATATATAGTATACTAGATATTGGATTTCGTGTCAGCATGGGCCCAATATATATTACTCTCTCCGTTTCACAAAGAGTGATCTAGTTTAACTTGACACAGAGTTTAAGAAAATAAAGAAGACTTTTGAATTTTGTGGTCCTAAATTAAAGTTATGTCAAATGTACAAAATTGTCCTTTAATCTTGTGGCCTTAAACATGTCACGTGAAAAGTTGAAATTAAAATGTTAAAAAAAAAAAAAGAGGTCATTCTTTTTTAAGCAGACTAAAAATGAAAGGAGGTCATTCTTTTATAAATGGAGGGAGTACTTATTTTAATTCAATTTATGTAACATATAAATGAGATTTGAATAGTCAATCATTTTTTATATATAGTTTGTGAATATTGTAAATTATTAATTGTTGTGATTTTATAATACTTTTTAAATATTTTTCAAATAATATTATTCATTTTCTCCCAAATTATGTGACATAGAATTTCGAGAGTCGGACAATCATTTTTTTTATGTCTTTTAAAGTTATTGTGATTTGTAATAGTTTTTACATCATTTTTAAATAAGTCTCAATTTATGTGACACTAACATAATTTTGAGAGCGAACTATTTTTTTTTATGTTTTTTAAAATTTTAAGATGTTAATTATTGTGATTTATAATATTTTTTTAGTCCTCTTAAATGATATATGTTACTTTCTTTCTCCCAATTTATGTGGCACTTGAGTCAATCAAATTTGTATATGTCTTTTAAATATTTAAGTTGTTAATAATTATGATTTGTACTATTTTTCCATTTAACTTTGTTTTCTTACCTTTCTTTTTCAATAGGTAGAAAATTTTGAAATTCAATTTTAAGTCGAATTTGAAGAAACTTTCAGAAGTTGTTTTCACTTTAAATTCCTCATCAAAAATATAAAGTAATTCTAATTTGTAATTATGATCAAATATGACTTCGATTTTCAGACATTATTTTTATTTTTAAAAATAAAATTATTTCTTTTAAATAACCATTATTTTCACTTTTACTATATTTTTATTAATGTAATTATTAACATTTTTAATAAATTCAGACATTATTTTTTATTTTAAAAAATAAAATTAGTTCTTTTAAATACCCATTATTTTCACTTTTACTATATTTTTATTAATGTAATTATTAACATTTTTAATAAATAATTTACCATGAAATTAACAAAGTGCAAAAAAAAAAAAAAAAAGTGCAAAAAAAATGAGAGAGGCAGAAGAAGCACGTAATGAAAGAGGAATGGAGTTGGAATTCAAAAGTAAGAGATCGATATATACTATAAGGATGGACCCACATGCAGCACTACTCTTCGGCTGAAGGAAAATAGGAAATGGTAAAAAGGAAACATACAAGCCGATTTTTAAGTCCAAATATGAGAAAGTACAATTTTTGAAGCAGTAAAGTATAATTTATTTAAGCATAATAATAACAATATACCAAAATTACCCCTAGCTAAGGAAGCAAGCATGTTGACGATATAGTAATTCTTCGATTCATATTCTATGATATTTTTAATTTGGACATACGTCTCAGGTAATTTATAAATTTTATTCTTTAATTATGTAAAAATTCATTTATATATAAGAATAAATTTCAAAGAAAAAAATTAATATCATTATAATTATGTGAAAAATATTTTTTAAAATAACTAAAATAAAGCCATAAATATCATAAAATCTATATATATATATATATATATATATATATATAGAAAAAAGTGCCACATGTCAGCACCACAAAAAATATATTTTTTAATTAATTAAAATTAATTAAATTGAAATAATTTTAAAACAATTTTAAAAATTATGGTGATGTAACAGTAAAATTGTTTTTAATTAATACACATAATTCTATAATATTAAAAACAGATTGGTAAGAAAATTAATTTAAAACAGTGGATCTTCATAGGGAAAATGAGATTGTTTTGTTCCATTTTTTAAATTTAAAATATCATCTCGATCACATGCCTTATTAAATAATATAAAGAAAAATCTTTCAGTCATAAAAAAAAAAAATTAAAAAAAAGAAAGCATAACCACTTTCTTTTTTAATAAATAAAAAGATAGCTCTAGCCATGACAAAATACTAAATAATTAATTTAAAATTTAAATTTCAAATAATAACCAACTTTACCCGTAAAAAACAGTTTAACTTCATAAGTCATATGTGTGAAAAAATATTACTCTTAACTACATTATCATCCACATCTTCTTAAACCAACTTTTTAAAATATATATTCAAAAATGTGTAACAACAATCACATTCCAAAAAATATTTGATTGCACTTGAGATCATAAAAGAAAATTGAGTGAAAGTATAGTAGTGTATTGTATGTATGCGTTCTTTTTTAATAGTATGCCCTCTTTCTTAATTATTTTATGTGAAATTATTTGAGTATGGTTGAAAGTGAAGGACTACCATCATCTCCAGTGCAACGAGGAAGAAGAAGAAACTAATGATAAAGAAATAGAAGAATTCTGAAGAATTTTATGATAGTGGACCATGTATGCCACCTTTTAATATTTTTTGTACATAAATTACTGCTATGATAATTATTTCGTCGTTTTAATACTTTGCATGACATCTAATATTTTTTTTTTGATAATTTAGCCTTTTTGTGTTCATTTTTATGTTAAATTTAAATGGTCTCTTTTTAAGTAATTTATTAAATTATTAGATGAATATACATACTAATCTCAATTACCATTTAAATTTGGTTGGCTTCCTTATTTATGTTGATTTCATATTGTTTTAACGATTCAATAGATGTTTCATTTTGAAAGAATACAATTAATATAAATGATGATGATGATGATGAAGATGAAGAAGAAGAAGAAGAAAAATAAATCAATATGAATATTGACGGAGAAGATGAAAGACTTGAGATGATTATATTAATTTTTTGTCGTTATCTTCTTTAAATGTGTAATTTTTTTAATAATTTATTTTTTTAGTAAAATAACCGAGCATCGCGCGGGCACTATACTAATACTAATACTAATAATTAGACCTGTCAATATAGGCTAGCCCACCCCATCCTGGCTAACCCATACATGCTTTGACATTTTACGGGTCAGGCCAGGCTAGCCCAGCCCATTTTTTGTGTGGGCCAGAAAATGGTCGGCCCAACCCACAAGTACGTAGGCTACAGGCTTGCCGGGCCAGCCCACTTTTTTAAAAGTTATATATTTTTTATAATTATTAAATTAAATTATAAATTATAATTTAAAAATATTATCGTAAATATCGTAAAAAAAATATTGCATGGTGTTAATATTACTACTTGCTAATCAAATCCACAAATTAAATTATCTTTATAATATTTATTAAGTTTTTTTTTAAGTAAAAGTATAAATATCTAAATAGAAATATTAACCTAACTGTTTTAAAATGATCAAATAAAACACAAAAAATATGACAATATTCCAACCAACGAAGGATAAAATGACTGAAGTTCGCCTGCGACGGTTTGGCTTATCATGCATACTATATGCTTGGTCAGTAGTTATGACTATATGGTTGATTGATGGATGGATGTGTTATTCAAAAACTTCACTATATAAACTTGATAGTGTTTATAGGGAATCTTGATATCTATAAGATAGGCTTCTTTGTATTGAATTCTGAACATATTAAAGATAGTTAACTTTGTTTTGATGAAAGGTTGATGGATTGGTGGCCCTCATGGAGGGTGAGCACATTGGCCCTTTCAACTTGGGAAATCCAGGAGAATTCACCATGTTGGAGCTTGCTGGGGTAAGTCAGTCATGGTTATTTTGAATCAAATTGTTAATATGTTTATGTTAGAGCATGAAATGTCTTAATCAACTTATATATGTTATGAAACAGGTGGTGAAAGAAGTGATTGATCCGAGTGCGACTATTGAGTTCAAAGCCAACACCGCGGATGATCCTCACAAGAGGAAACCTGATATTAGCAAAGCAAAGGAGCTACTAAACTGGGAACCAAAAATATCGTTGCAAGAGGGGCTTCCTCTCATGGTCAATGATTTCCGCAATCGTATCTTGAATGAAGATGAAGGCAAAGGGAACTAAACAAGAAAAATAGTATGTATAGCTCCAAACTTGTTTATTATACTCGAAGTTGATATGATATGCATTCTTTTTTTTTGTATTTTCCTTGTAATAGCAGATGGATAAGCCACATCTTTAGTCTCAAAATAGCAGATGGCTTCTATTTTGGGAAACTGCCCTGTGATGTTTTAAAGATCAAGTGTTTTTGTTATGATGATCAATAGTGGATATTCTTCAAATCTCCATATGTTTTCTATGTGAACGAACATTCATGTGACTTGGTATTGTTACTTCAACTACTATATTTTGATTGTTGCTTGTTAAAATTGTTGTTATATAACGATTTATTGATAAGTGAACAAGAAAAAGACTAACACAACATCTTATCATTGTACAAAAGCCATTGTATATTGTACGGTGGAACCCCGCTCATATTGGCCTAACACAACATCTTATCATTGTATTCTTTTTCATATATTTTAAAATCATAAACTTATTAATAAAAAACTAACTTTAACTTCAGTTACTGCAACACGTATCCCATTTTCCTCTCCCCACGTCAATTAATTTGCAGATTTTTAACTGTTTAAATTTATCAATAAAACAACAAAAATTAATCATACTTTTAAATTCAAAAAATGATTTTTTTAAAATAAGGTGATTACATCTTACTTTGTCAATCTCAACATTAAATATATATATCCTCGCCGTCTGACATTTGTGGAGAACTGATGAGAGAACAAGAGAGAAAATAGCAAAAAATGAAGTGCAGTCCAAGAGTATTCTTATCCGGCATTAAGAGAAGAAACTTATTTCATGGTACTATTAAACGAGCGGCATATATTGATGAAATCGTTTGAGTTAGGTTTAAATACTATGAGTTTCAGGTTATTTGTGAGACTTATGAAGATTGTGATAGAAAATTAATCCGAACATACCGTAAAACATGAGTAATTATACTGATAGTCACTTCAATTTTGTACTTCAAAATTCTGCGTATATTCAGATAGTCGATTGGCTTTTTCACTCCTTCTGTTTGGTATTGCTATTATAGCAAAAGATAATTGGATTTTTTTTTAAAGTTTTTGTTTTTTGCTTAAAATAATGGCTACTCTTTTTCTTTGTTCTTTGAACAAGTGATAAATAAATTATTATATATTATTATTATTATTATTGTTATTTATCCAACGTCACATAGGTAAAGGAGAAATACGAAGCTTTTATAGATGCAATAAATATGAATTTCTCCTAAATATAGAATGAATATTTGAAATATAAATAAAATTATCAAATAACTTAAGTAAGGAATGACCATGAATATACAAGAGTGTTTTTATTTGATATTATTTACTATTTGTGTAAATAAAATATTGTGTTGTGTCATATATGCTATTTTTTTTTAAATTTTTGGTATATTAACTTATATATGGCTAATTGGCTTTTATCTTTTCCTTTTGTTGGCAGAAAAATGTATTCATTATTTTGAAATATGCATGCATATCAAATTAATAAATAAATAACAAAAATATGATTGGATACCATTGAAATATATGTGATATGACAATACTTAAATTTCTTTCTGCATCTACTTTTAAATTTATAACAATGTCAAGTAATTTTATTTTTCTCCACTTGAAATAAATAGTTTTTAATATATATAAAATAGTGATTTTCAATTAAAAAAGTCTTCCTGAATGATAGTTCAAGTAATGTTTCTATTTTAAAAACTAAAGTTTGCATATTCTCCCTACAAATATTCATTATTTTGAAATATGCATGTAGATCAAATTAATAAATAAATAACGAAAAGATGATTAGATACCATTAAAAAATATGTGATATGACAATACTTAAATTTCTTTCTATATCTACTTTCAAATTTATAACAATGTCAAGTAATTTTATTTTTCTCCACTTACAAGGATTTTTTTTAATATATATAAAATAGTAATTTTTTTGATTAAAAAAATCTTCCTGACTGATAGTTCAAGTAATGTTTCTATTTTAAAACTAAAATTTACATATTCTCTCTACAAACATAATGTTAATTTATTCAAAAAGGTACTTTGTTAGTATTAGAGAAAAGAATAGTTTTCGTGTAATAATATTTTTCTAAAAAAGTAATTTTACTATACACAAAAGCTAAACCAAATTGTTAGTATTAGAGAAAGGGATATTTTGTTTTTAATAATATTTTTCTAACAAAATATTTTAATATACACAAAAAAGCTAAACCAAATAGGTCATAATTTATATGCAGTATAATTAAAAAATCGTACCATAATATGTAATATATTGCTAGAAGATGTACAAAATAATAATTAAAAAAAATATTGTTTACACTTCATACGAACTCAATTCACAAATTTTAGTCTGATATTTTAAGTTATAAAACACAATAAAAATGAAAAGCTAATTACAGTATCACAAAGGAAAATAAAATACATGCAAAAGATGACAAAAAATTTATACAAAAAAATAATTAAAATATTTATCGAATTTTCAGTTTGGATATTTGCTTAAAAAATCATCTTCAAAATAATATAATTTTAATTTGATAAATAATTATATTAAAACTGTCACATAAAACTGCCAAAACCACAAATTGATAGTTATATATTATTAATATTTGCAGATTTAAAAAAAACAATTTATTAATTACAAAAATACTAAGAAATTACAAACACGCGTAGTTCTTATTAACTTTCCTTCTTTTTTTTTAACTATCCTTATTAATCTCCACAACATTCTTTATAGTGATAAGATAATTTGCAACTATTCTTATTATTCTTAACATCAAAATAATGTATACTGAATTTTTTATATATGGTTAATAATTTTGAAATTAAAATATATTGATCTCAATTTGTGGTGTAGTTATTATAATAATTCTATAATGTAACAGTAATGTGCGAAAATCATTTTTCCGATTGATAATATTCAAAAGTTATGCACATAACATTAAGCAAAAATATTATTATAATTAATAATGATGATTTCAAAAAATTATAAAATGGTTATTCTCTTCTAAGTGGCAATCTAATATCAAGTCACTTGATAGTTTTATAACAAAGTACAAATGGATAAAAAACTTATAAACAATAAAATTAACTATTTGATTAGAAAATGAATAAAAAAATGTCATAATAAAAATAAATAAATAAATAATCAAAACAATTACGAAAAAAGAAGAAAAAGAAAACTATAATAAAGGAATAGTTAAAAATATGTAGGTAAAATATTTTTTTAAAAATAAGTTAAAGATAAAAAAAAAAAAACTAACCTAAATCATCCCTAAACAAAAGAAATGTTTCAAATCAGTACTTTGTAAATAAGAAAAATATGTCATCAACAAAAATGTTTTCAAATTATCATTTCTTAAAAAGAATAAATTGAAAATATTATAAATCTGTATTTTACAAAATATGTCACATGTCATCATTAAAATAATTACCAAATTTTTAGAATTTTTTAAAAAATTATCTCCAAGAAAATATTAATTTTAATTTGATAAATAATTATGTAAAAATCTGCCACATAAAATCACCAAAAACAAAAAACTAATAGTTATATATTACTAATAATTTTCAGACTTTTTAAAAATAATAATTTATTAATTAAAAAAAACTAAGAAATTGCAAATCAACTAAATGCACGTAGTCTACTGTCCCATTTCTCTCCCACTTCATCTAAACTTTATTTATTAATTAATTTGTAGATTTTTAAATCTTTTAATCAATAAAAATAATAATTTTAACTTCTTTTTTTTTTGGTTATATATAGATAAGATGAGTGCTAAAAAGATTGCAACATGCTTTGTAAATTATATTTAGATTTTAGCTAAAAGTAAAGACAAAAATTTTAATATTAGATTTTAGATTGATCTATGAATTTGTAAATTTAATTACTTAGCCTAATTTTCAATTGAACACACACCAGATATGCTATATATTCATCTTCATTAAACTAGAAGAAAGAGAAATTGTTAGAATAACGTTTATTGTCTTTGAAGAACATACACTTATAGAACATAAATTAGTGTAAAATTTTGTTAGCATTAATTGTATATATAAAATTAAAACACTATTTTTTTTAATTATACATGCACTTTTGTTACTCAATAATAATTTATTTTAGTTATTTCTAAATTTTAAAAATATTATATTTTAAACATCCACGCAACGCGCGGATACGTATACTAGTAATAATAACAGGAGTGGTGATAGCGCCTATGTGTCAGCGTTAGAAAAAACAGTATTTTTTTTAAAAACAAATTGTATTTGAAAAAAAAACAATTACACATGTATTGATAGTTAATTATTTCAAAATTAGTGAGATCAGTTTAAAATTTATATATATGTGCAAACTTATGCAGCAGTAACTACCATAAAATTTCAAAATTTTTTTATTAAAAAAATAATCCTAAAAAAAAAGATTTAAAAAAACTGTAATATTTAAATTAAATTTCAAAATAGAAATGCTATTTTTTTGTTTTGAAAATATAAAAAATAAAAATAAAAAACACACAGAAAGTTCTGCATTTGAAATTTAGTTTTTGAGCCTAATTTTAGTTTTTGAGCCTAATTTTGTGGAACTAAGCATTATCTAATTTTGTGGAACTATCAACTATTATCCTTTTAAATATCTTAAGGTTTGAAAAAATTACTATTTAAAAAAAATATAAAATCAACTATTTGTAATTATGTTAAATTCGAAATTAAAATACTAAATTTATTTTGTTAAAGCATTTACTTAAAATTAACGCGATATAACCATTTTATAATTTTTCAAATTTATATAAGATAATAATTAAAAATATTAATTATCTGAAACTGAAATAAAAATAAACGTTGCAAAAAGTGCGTGTGATTTTTAATTTTCAAATTAAAAAAAAAAAAAAGTTGCCCCACATTTATCACTAGAGAATTTTAAGGAACAATTTCAATTAGTGGAGAATTTTAAGGAATAATTTAAAATTTAAAATTAATATAAACTCTAAAAATAAAAATAAAAAGTACAAACATAATAATAATAATAATATAATAACAATAATGATAATAATAATAATAATAATAATAATAATAATAATAATAATAATAATAATAATAATAATAATAATAATAATAATAATAATAATAATAATAATAATAATAATAATAATAACAACAACAACAACAAGAAAAATAAATAATAATAATAATAATAATTTTTCAGAAATATTCCAAATGACAGCCACACATAAAATCCTTTTTCCCTGTTTACTGTAGCAATTTTCAA